CCTGCTTTGAGCAGGGGGTTGGACTAGATGACCTCTTGAGGTCCCTTCCAACTCTGATATTCTATGATTCTATGAACTATCTTTAGCAGTTTAGTATCATCTGCAAACTTTGCCACCTCACTGTTTACCCCTTTCTCCAGATCATTTAGGAGTAAGTTGAACTCTGCATCCACGTAACGCAGCTCTGCCGAGCCCGCCTGGCTCCAGCAGCCCCCAGCTGGCGTGAGCAGGGGAGCTCCACGCTGGGCGTGCAGTGGGGCGGGGGAGGGCTGCCTGCGGTGCCCAACCCCCGCACACTCACTTCATCTTGTAGGTCTGGGCGCCGATGGCCAGTGCGAGCAGCTGGTGCCCCAGGCAGATCCCGAAGACGGGCTTGGGCTGGGGCTCAGCCAGCAGACGGCGCAGGTTGGCGATGGTCTTCGAGCACGAGAGCGGGTCCCCGGGCCCATTGCTGATGAACAGCCCGTCAAACTCTGCAGGGACAGGACGGGTCAGCAGTAGGGCGGCACCCATGATCCCCCCCAGCCTTCCCCATTACGGCCACCCCCGGGGCACCCCTGCCTCCCCCCACCCCTGCCCCTCCGGGGCACCCCTGCCTCCCTGATATCCCCGCCCCCGGGCACCCCCACCTCCCCCCGGGGCGCCCCTGCCTTCCCCCACCCCACCTCCCCGATATCCCCGCCCCGGGGCGCCCTCACCTTCCCCCACTCCCGCCCCCTCGGGGTGTCCCTGCCTTCCCCCGTGGCACCCCAGCCCCCGTGGCACCCCTGCATCTGCCACCTGTGCCAGCAGCCCCCCGCACTGGGCACCTGCCCTGTCAGCACCAGGGGCCCTACCCTCAGCCATCCCCAGCACCCCACGCGTGCCGGGCACACTGCCCCGGGACCCCGCACTGGATACGACACCCTCAGCTGCTCCCACTGATGGGCCCCAGGCCCCCCACCAGAGCCCCTCACCTGCGCTGTCCAGGGGGTGGTCCCAGGGCACCACGGTCACAGCCGCCCCCCGCTGGCACAGGCACCTGATCTGGTTGTACTTCAGGCCACAATCCACAGCCGTGATCCTGACCGAGCCGCCGGGGTTGAACACTCTGGGCTCCTGCGGGGAGAAGGGACAAACGAGGCCAGTGCCAGGCCAGCCAAGAGTCCCACAGCAACCGCTGCCCGCGCGGCTCCCTGCCCCACCCTGGAGCTGAGAGGAGAAGGGGACGGGGGCAGGGGAGGAGCCCGGTGTCACAGATCCACAGGACAGGTGCTATGCCCCAACTTGGGAACAGTCTCTTGTGGGACCCCCTCAATGGGCCAGAGCACCAGAGGTCCCACACTTCCTGAGGGTCGGCCCTGCAGCCTCACTGCCTCCAGCTTCGCACCAGGAGCTGAGCCCGCGTGAACCAGACGTCTGGGAGAGACCTGCCCACTCCTCAGGGACACGCAGCCTGGACTTGCAGCGACACCGCCCGGCCCTTTGCAAGCCGAGCAGGGTTAATTCGTTACCCGGAAGCGGCATCAGCAGGTCTCAGGTTGGCCCGGAGAAATGAAGGCTAAAGCCAGTCCATTCTGGTCCAGCCAGAGCCACCCACCAGCCAAGCTGGAGTGACTCCGCTTGGGGATCCGTCTCTCCCTCAGACACCTGCTTCAGTGCCCGCTTCCTCCGGCATCCCCCTCTGCAGTCCCTGCCGGGCCTGGCTCAGGCCTGGTCTGCACTAGGAACGTCCCTGGGCCGAGCGGCGTCTCTCAGGGTGTGGAAACCCAGACATGCAGCTCTGCCGCCCCAGCCGCCCGCGCAGACAGCGAAAGGCTTCCCCTGTCAGCCTGCCTCCCTCCCTCCCGGCCAGCACTGGTTTGCAATGGTGCCAGGGCACCGTGGTGCCCGGGCCAGACTCAGAAGGGCCTTGGCCCCAGACCGGTGCCCTGCCCCACACAGACCCCACTCCCGCTCAGCCTCTTCCGTGGCCCCGCCCACTCCACCACCATCCCCCCACCCCACCCCCACACCCTGCAAGCAGCAGGCAGGGCCTAGGGAAAAGCGGGGGCGGGGCCTCGAGGCAGCAGAGGGAGGGGACCGAGACCCACAAAAGGTCAATCCGGTCCGGCTCCCACCTGTCGGGGCAGTGGGTTGCCCAGACCGAGGGGGAAGCCCTCCTCTGAGGTGGCACAGACACGCCCTCAGCCCTCCCGGGGGGGCCTCTGCTCAGGCGCCCGCTGGGGACGGGGGGACCTTCCTCCAGGGCCCTGCAGCACGTGCCAGCTGCTTCTTACAGACCCCATGCACCACGGCCCGGCCAGCCAGGCGACACCCCACCCCTCGAGTCCTGCACGGCCCTAGGAGCCGACGTGACGCACCGTGGGGGTGAGGTGCTTCGGCCAACATGCAGTAACCCCCGCCCCCCAAACTCTTCCCGCCCGAGCGCCATACCTGGGCCCACGGCCGGTCCCCGCGCAGGCCAACCCCGAGCGAGGCCAGCAAACGTTACAGAAAACCGCAGGGGAAGTCCTTGGCTCCTACACCAGAGACTCCCTGTCCCCCAGGCTGGGCTCAGCCCTGCCCCCAGCCAGCCCCGTGCCCCAAGACCCAGCCCCACGCAGGGAGGGGCGATGCCCAGCCCTACCTTCACGGACACCTCCTGCACCAGGTGCCGCTTGTTGGGGTCCTCGAAGGGCAAGTTCCTCTCTTGGGCCCCGTCCATCACCAGCCTGCCCAGCAGCGTCCCCTTCTCCCGGATCCGCTTCGTCAGGGCCCTGGTGTCCACCCCTGGCAGGGATCCCAGCGTGAGCGCCAAATCCCTGCCCAGCGCCAGCCCGGCACCCAGCCTCACCCCTGCCCCAGCCTGGAGCCCCCGCCTTGCCCCTGCCCCCTCCCCCAACCCTCCTCCCCAACCCGGAGACCCTGCCCCCTCCCTCAACCCTCCTGCCCCAACCCAGAGCCCCTGCCCCCTCACCATCCACACCCACCCCAAAGCCCCCATCTCACCCCCTTCCCAGCCCCCAGCCTCCCCACCCGCTCAGCCCCCGCGCCCGCCTGCGCCCCACCTTCCAGCCCGGGGATGTTCTGCTCCTTCAGCCAGTGGTCCAGCGAGCGCACAGAGCTCCAGTGGCTGGGGATCTGTGAGCACTCGCCCACGATCAGCGCTGACACGTGGATCTTGCTGGACTCGAACCACTGCGGGCACAAAGAGGGGTGAGCCGGGCGGATGCCAGGGCGAGCTCCGCGGGACCCCAGCCAATGCCCAAGCATGCAGGGGGCTGCCCCCACGGGTCCCACTCCCACCTCCCAGGGACCCCCAGGCTGGGCCATCAGCGGGAGTGAGTGCCCCGGGGAGGGAGAAGACAGCTCCCACCCGCCCGCCCCTGCACTGGCCATGACAGCCTCTGGCAACCCCTGCCCAGGCCTGGCACCTTACGGAGATGCAGGCCGGCCCCAGCCCCCTGCCAGAGGGCACTCTGGGTGCAGGGCTGCCCCGGGCCAGTGTTCTGTCTCGCTGGCCTCATGGGAGATGGGCAGGGCCCTGCTGTTGCTCCCTAGCTGCCCGGCAGACGGCGCCCAAGGCAGAGGGTGCCAAGGCAAACAGCTGTGGGCGGGGACTTGGGCTGCCTGGGGCAGCACATTCCAGGCAGGCACCTCACAGGATGCGGTACGGCCGTTCCCCGGGGCCCCGGTCGTTTCCTGGGGAGCAGGCGGCTCTGTGCCCCGAGTGCCCACAAGCCCCAGCATCCCTCCCCCACTAGCCACCTCTGTCTGTCCCGGGAGAGTCCGGGTCTTGCCAGCCCCAGCCCCACCACTCAGGCAGGGGAAATCGCCTGTGCAGGTCCACGGAGCCCCCGTGGGAATCAGGACTGGTCTGCCCAGCATCTCTGGGCGCAGCTCCCACCCGCTGCCCGGCCCTCAGCGACTTGCACCCTCCCCGCAGCTTCGTCCGGGCGCCTGCAGCGGCCCCCAGGTGCCAACCGCCCCCACCCCCAGCCCCGCACTCACCCTGCTGAGGCCGTACTGGTCGGGCTCATCCCGCGGGACACCGTAGTTCCCGATCAGAGGGTAGGTCAGCACCAGGATCTGGGATTTGTAGGAAGGGTCTGTCAAGGCTTCGGGGTAACCCACCATGCCAGTCTGGAAGACTGCAGCCGGGGCAGAAGGAGAAACAGCACTCAGCACAACGCGGCTCTGCCAGGCCCCGGAGCACGGCACCGCCCCCCCCGGCGGCACTGGCCCAGCGCGGCTCTGCCAGGCCCCGGAGCACGGCACCGCTCCCCCCCAGCGGCACTGGCCCAGCCCGGCTCTGCCAGGCCCCGGAGCATGGCACCGCACGCCCCAGCCATGGGCACTCCCTGCCCTCCCTGCAGGTCCATAGACTGGTGTATCAGCGCCGGGGACCAGGGAGCTCAGCCAGTGCTACAGGGCTGGTGATAATTTCCCAGGCACCTGGGGCAGGGTCCGGGCCGCCGATTACCTGCCCCACAGAGATGCACGCGGCACAGAGGGAAAGCTCAGCATAGGGGCTGGAGGAAGCTGCCAAAGGCTGAGGCCTGGCACCAGGGACCCCCTGCCCTGGGCTCTACAGCTGCCCCCTTCGCTGGGCACCAGCCCCAGGCACGGGGCACCCCCACCCCTCTCCTGGGGAGGAGAGAGACCGGCCCCGCTGGGAACACTGCAAAGCTGGTGGGAGCAGTGCGGGTCTGGGCACAGGGATCAGACACAGCCCTTCCCATACCCCACCCCCCATTCCCTTCCCGCCCCCCCAGGGCCTGCCTCTCATCCCCTCCCCATCCCCGCCCCCCATTCCATTCCCTTCCTCCCCATCCCCGCCCCCCATTCCCTTCCCTCCGCCCCAGAGCCTGCCCTCCATTCCCTCCCCATCCCCTGCCCCCCATTCCCTTCCCCCCCCAGAGCCTGCCCTCCATCCCCAGAGCCTGCCCCTCATCCCCTCCCCATTCCCTTCCCCCCCCCCGAGCCTGCCCTCCATTCCCTCCCCATCCCCCGCCCCTTCCCTTTCCCTCCCCCGGCCTGCCCCCCATTCCCTGCCCTCCATTCCCTCCCCATCCCCTGCCCCTTCCCTTCCCCCCGGCCTGCCCCCCATTCCCTGCCCTCCATTCCCTCCCCCCATTCCATTCCCTCCCCGCCCCCCATGCCCCATTCCCTTCCCATCCCATCCCCCGGCTCTGCCAGGACCTGCCCCTCATTCCCTTCCCTTCTCCCCATCCCCCGCCGGGACCCCCCAGGCCCCCGCCCCACTCACCCACTTCCCCGGCGGCGGAGCGCGCGGCCCCGAAGGGGCGGCCCCGGATCACGGCCCCGTCCTGCAGCACCAGGCAGCCCATGGCGAGCCGGGCACGTGGGGCGCGGAGCGGGGACTGCGCCGGCCTGCGCGGGAGGAGCCGGATGCGGGCTAGGCGGGCCGAGCCCTAGCGAGCCCCGCCCCCTGCTGCGAGCGAGCCCCGAGCGAACCCGCCCCTGCTCCGAGCTCCCGACGCGCGCCCGCCC